CCTCATGATGGAGAAACGGTATAATAACTTTTTTACTCTCCGGGGGGACTCTCCTTCTCACCTCCGGTCGCTCCTCTCGTAAAAAAAGGTCAAGGATGTATCCGGCGGGTGCGGATCAATGTATGCCATCGAGATCGCGTCTGAGAAGTTTGTGGGACTATCGTTGGTAGGGCAGCACAGGCTCGTGCATGACATCCTTGGGAAGGAGGTAAAGTCGTGGCATGGGGTTCAATTGAGAACTTCTGTCGCTTAGAACATGGACACACACCATGGTGGAGGGATGGAAGGGAAGGTGGAAAAGGGAGGGAAGGAAAGGAAAGGAGAGGAAAGGGGGCAAGGAGAGAGAGAGAGAGAGAGAGAGAGAGAGATAGACGGAACTCTATTCTATTTCCTTCACTCAAATTTGATACTTTCTTTTACAGTACTTGAGTATAGTATCACCATGCCTTCAATCGTTTTTCTCTAGTCCCCATCACGGATTAAGGCTGTAACTTTTCCCCCTTGCCCCATCGCCTTGCCCTCTCCTTCCCCGCGGAAGAAAGGAAGGAAGGGATAAGATAAGAAGGGAGAAAAAGAGGGAAAGAGGAAAGAGAGAGATAGAGAGATAGAGAGGGATGATAACTATGAATTTGTCACCAAGAGGGAGAATAAAGGTTTTTCCAACAAACTAGTTAGCTTACAACTGAAGGGCACACGGACAGACAGGGGCGGGAGAAAATTGTTCACTACGATGGTGATGATGATGATGATAATAAATGAATTGTGAATGGTAAGGGTGGGAAATCGTGAGCTGTCTCCTCCCTCCGATAACTTCCCGCTCAGTGGCGATGCAAATCACGATGGAGGGCATTTAGCTCGAGTCAGTTAACCATCATAAACATTCGGGCCTTTTTTAGGGTCTAGAACTGGACTACTCGAGCACAGTACAGTACAAGCGAAGGCTAAGCTGAAACCCAAGCGAGAGTTTCAAAGAAGAGCCGGTGTTGACCGGAGGAAGGATGAAAGGCGATCCCGAAAGGACGAATCGAGAAAACCCACAAGGATTGAGAATGAAAACATAGAAAAAACATCCTGAAGGAAATCAAGCTAAATCAAATAGGGATATCACAACAAACCAAACAGGCATGAGCAGGAGGTCATTTCAGCAGGCGAGAAAAAATACCACTGTAAACGCCACAGAGGAAATCGTGATCGATGGGGCTCGATTTGGATACGAGTTGCAGTTTTTTTCTTCTTCCTTTTTTTTTCGACCGTATTGGAACAACTGTCAACTCGCCCACACCCGAGGAAAAAAGAAGACAAAAAAACGACTCAGAAGGAGTAGACCAGAAATCATTACTTCTTCTCGCGCTCGGCTTTGAGCTCGGCCACGGCCTTCTCCTTGGCCAACAGGGTTTCCTTCGCTTTGTCAATATGCTCCTTGACGATCTGAAGGCCTGCATTGAGGCGGTCAAGCTCCATAGCCTCCGATTCCTCTGTAAACTCGCCACGAGCGCCCCTCGCGCGGCTAGGAAGCCTTGCAGACCCTTTGGAAGTCAGGATGTCGTACATGGCTTCCGTGGGCTCGTTGAAAACCAATTCATCGTACATGTACGAAAGAACAGGGCGGCGCTGTTGCCTTGCGAGCTCAAGCTCTGCTTTGTCACCGATGTACGGGTGCAGCTTTAGGAAGTGGAAACACGATTGTGGCTTTTCGCCCGACTCCGGGACAAACCAGATCTTGATAACGATCTCAAACTCTCCCCACCCTGTTTCTGATACCTCGAATGGTGGTGACTCGCAAGCTATGCCGTTTCATAATGTATTAGGCTGGTTTGATGTATGTATATGCACGGGAGGGGGGAGATGGGGGGGGGGGGGAGGATTGACAAACTTCGTAAAGGGTTGGCATAGGTGTCATGTAGTTTGAACTGTACTTTCTTGATGAAATGCGAGACGTCAGCACCATCGACCCCCTTCACAGAGACGGTCCACTGGTGTGTGTGGTCTGGTGGGAGGTTTGGAGGCTTCTTGTCCGGGTTGACTGGCGTCGCAATTGATCCGTAAACTGTTCACAAATTGTCAGTCAGCCGATTTGGTAAGAAAAAGACGGGGAAACGGAAAAAGGCCTCTCGAGATATGCGGGAATCGGAGGGGTATATAATTTCGTACCGAAGGGCCGGAAGATAGAGACACCCTAAATACCGTGATATCATATGTCAGCTAAACTCTCCCCAAGTGTTGGTGCACAATCCCGAGGCTGCAGGGAAGGCGAACCAGGAGACCATCATCGCAAATTGGGGGATCCCGAACCCTACCTTTACTCGTTTTGTATTCAAGATTGATGGCATCCTCAACTTTTATTTGTGCCAACGCCACGCACCAGAGCGTCCGGTGAAAATTTTATGATGACGGTGGTTGAATCTCGTGTGTGTGTTCGTGGTTGGTTGGCTCAGATGTTGATTGAGGTGGATGGAGGTTCATCGATACAGGGATAAGCTTCGACAGACGAGCAAAACAGTTGTACGAGCACAGGTAAGGCGAGCGCGCCCGTGCACGAAAATCATGTGAGTCCCCTGTTATCAAACGAGTATCATATCATACCGTACCACAGCTCTCGGATGACGTAAGCAAATACCAAAGACAGACCATTTTTGAGTATCATATCGTACCATACCTAAAGCAAAACTGGTATGATACAGCACAAGTAGATCTCGATCACAGACAGCCAAAGGGTAAATTTGTTCGACAAACGAGACAAAAAGAAACCCAAAAGACTGTTGTCCGTATCCGATAGATCCTACGGTATCTTGTGGTTCCCTCCCCCCCCCACTGCCGTCTCTCTAATGCCCCTGCCGTGACCCAGTCATGTTCATCGTTTTGTTCGTGGATGGATCCCTGTTGATCCCTCCGAATGGATCTGGACAACCGCTCCCACCGTGCTCGTAGTTTGGTTTTCTAGCGATGGAGGCATTGCGAGACACTGTTTATCTAGGGGAGTGTTTTTGTTTTTCCGGTTCGATATTACCACGTTCCGGCCAGCCCCTCTCCCCGGTACCGGTATGTTACGGGGTGCGCGGGCGGCACTTCCCAGATACCACGGAATGGACGGGTTGGAATTGGGCCAAGAGAGGGCAACCAGCTTGATCGGAGCGGAACCGGAAGCCGTCCACTGGATACCCTGCATACAGACAGGGCTGCCGTCTAAGCTCAGGCCAGACTCTGTGACTTGCTATAAAAATATGTGTGACCGCAATAACGCTCGGAAGCGTATCATACGAGTACCGGTACTGGACTCGTACAAGTACAGTGTTTACCGTAAATCGCCATAAACCTCTCTTGGCAGAAAAAACATTTTAACGAGAACCAGGCATCTGCGAGTACAATTCTATGAACGTCTAGCCTGCCGAAAGCATAGCAGCCCCCCATCCCTCCCTCCCCGGCATCTAAAAAGAACTGAACTAATACGGCGCCGGTCGCTTCCCGGAGTTTCCCGCTTTCTACATTTCTTTAGAAACCGCCTTTTTCTGGTGATGGGCCCTGCGCTGATTATGCGCAGTTGGTTTTGTTTACCATGAGTCAGAGATAACGGCCACGAATTGTGATGGTCGTAATGATAATGCCCCAGGCATCCGGAAGGGGCATCGGAATTAACTGGCCCCGGTGCGCTCTGTTGCTTTCCACTTCAGCCGGATTCCTGGGGGGATAAATAAAGAGAGGGTTTTGGAACGATGCTCATCTCCGAATTTAATTGTGAGCTGTGGCTTGCTTCGCCGACGGAATCGGCATAGCAACCCCACCAATAACCGGTCACAGAAGTCCAGATTCGCTTTTTCGTGACCCTTCTTTACCAGGCGTCATAATAACAGAATCTTCCGTATATATTCCGTCAGCTGATCCCCTGCTCTTGCAAATATCAGCTCTTACTGACACATCCACTTAGGATATGATCACCTAAAATCACTCGCAATGCCAAACCACCTTATCGCCTAGGCCCCTGTATCGGTATACAAGGAGCGAAAAGGGACTCGGGCGGCGGAGAAAACTTTCAAGTGCCGTTCCAGGACCCCAACACTTCCCACAATTGGTCCGGGGAACCATCGGTCCAAGGACAGATGCCTGACGCAGCATCGGGGCGTAGTCCGTTAAATGCTACACTCTTACGCGACGCAAATTCTGGTTGGGTGGGGTTAGCGATATTCCCTTGGGAAGCTGAAGGATGGCCCAAGTCTAGTGCCATATCCTATCCACCCGGCTCACTCTTCCGCAGTCTAACGAGGCCCGGGTACCATGCGAATGCAAGTTTTATCCGAAATGCCAACCCTGGCAGCCAGGGAAACGAGACACAACCACCTAACTTCAACGGAGGCGAGTGCAGCAGGCACATGATAGACCAGAATATTAAGAATAGCGATATCTGTCCAGTCAGCGCTGCTCTATAATACCGGGACAGGGGTTACCAGAAATGATCTACTCGCAAACCCCAAATATGACATTTCACCAGTGGACCTTTCATGACCGTCTAACGTAAGGAGAACTGTGGTCAAAGTGGCGATACCGGGGATCTCCTATACGGGGTCTCCCTGTCTTTATTCATGAGAAATTACCCAATCTACTATATCCCGTAAAAGAACCGGACAAGGGATATATTGTTATAATTTTTCGTGAAAGCAAGAAAAAAGAAAAAAAACACCGCTATGCCCCACCCAACCTGGCAACAACCTCGGCCATTTCTTCGTCCTTGTAGATTTTGAAACCCTTTTCCTTGGTAACGCTAGCAAGCTGAACGTTCTTTGAGTCGAGCTTCTCCTCCATGACTTGTTTAAGAGTTTTAAGGACGAGAGTCTCGGCTTCTTCGAGTGTCAAGGACTAAAAACACCAGGCGAAGTGTCAGCAAATTTTCACATTAGTAAATACGTTTGAGGGATGATCACATACGCTATGGTATTCGTTCTGCAATTCTGCCTGAGCCCCCTCACTCCCAGAGCCTATAGCCTTCGCATCGTACCGGTAGAACGTTCCGGAGGGTTCGGCATGGTATCTGAGTTGAACCGGACCTGCATCAGTACCTATCCCGTACACCCAACAGCCGACAATCGGGAGGTAACCAACAATTGGGGACCATCCTCATCATATCCAGCAATCAACAATGCAACACCGAAAGGTCTCGACATAATACTTTCCTCCCCATCAGCACCCTCTCCAAACCTCAGAGCAAGATCGCAGATAGCCTGAGTGCAACTCTCAACACGAAGCGGCTCGTTGTAGTGGAAGCTGTGATTCTGGGCTTCGACTCTAGCATGTTCGATCATCGACCTCGCATCTGCTTGAAGGCCCGACATGGCACATCCTAGATGGCGGTCTATCTCCACTATCTTCTCAACAGACGAAGCTTCAAGGAGTGGCGATGTTACGCGCTTCTCCACACCAATTATAACACCGTATCCCGTTGCTACCTGTAGATTATCCCATATTTATTAGATTTCCAAAAACGTGCGGGGTGATCGATGGTGGGGTATTGTTGGCAAAGGCGGGGCACGCACCCCGATGGCAGTCGAACCAAGCTTGATCGCTTCCAGTGAGTACTCGACCTGGAACAGACGGCCTTCGGGAGAGAAGGTGCTGGATGAAACTGATTAGTTTGGTGATGGAAAAATGTCTCGGTGGGAGGAAATTTTACGAACTTGATACCGCGATCTGCAGGTACGACGGACAATCCGAATCAGCTACTTTGGACGAATTTGGTGGTGGCCAGTGATGAAGATAGGAGGAGAGGGAATGCAAACCATATTCTGACCGTGCAATAAACATCTTGTTTGAGTAGTTGCGATTTTTCCTGAGATGATGAGGAGATGGAAATGAATCGAGGTTGAAGCCCGTATTTGCTGAGTTGCTAAGGATTGTGTACGGGGGCGACGCGAGACATTTTGGTGAGGCGCTTGCCTAGCCACAGACGTCACGTGCCACCCAAGTTACCATCCTAGGACACTCAATTCGAGTGATATGTTGTGGGTGCAATGTTCACCCTCTAAAGTAAACTTCGTTCCGAGTTCTATCATAGCAATCGGATTAAGGAACTCAAACCCCTCACAATCTTCTCAATCGGGTGTCTCTCACAAACTCGGAATCATAAATACCTGCCTTTGCACTCATACTTTCCTTCCTTCTCGACAACACTCCACAATATCGCACACTCAAAAACGACTCCCACCCATAGCATCGTCTCTTCTTTTGGCCTCCTTCTCTGCCTCTGACGACAAAAAATGCTCCCAAAACCGTCCCCGTCGACCTCTACCTCCCGTCCCGGGGAACCCCCCCCACTTCCATTGCCGTTGAAAGTCTTAGCATGAGTCGCCCTCTGTCGTCTATGGAAGGAAGACGCCCACACCTGCTGTCAGGCAAATCCCGGAGGGTCCAAGTGCTCTCGTCTCGTGCACCCCGATGACGTGCATATAACCATGTGTGGAGTTGAACGTGGCTGCATTAGTCGTGGATTTGTTATGCAGTTGGCGTAGGCGATTACAGATTAATCCTGGGAATTGAGTTTGGGTTGAGGGAACTCACCACCTTCATAGCCACGCTGGAATTATTATCTACCAAGGTATACCCCATATTAGGAAGGTGTATTGGGAGGCAGAATGTTTGATATTTTCTCATATTACATCTTAGATTAAAATTGACTTCTTTCCTTATAATTTTTCTGCACCCTATTTTCAACACGTTAGGAAGTTGATATTTCCTTCTTTTAGGGCCACGCGAGGATCGGTAACTTTCTTTGGTACTCTCAGAAGGGGCTTGCGAGTTAAGTTAGAGTCAATAGTAAGTTACCCACTACGAGTACTGGCCCAACGGTGCCAATCACTATCGCCAGCGATATCAGTAGATGGCAGCGAGATATGATAACAGCATACGAGTATACAGCAATTCACACACCCCTTTTGCACAATTTGCGGACTAGCCCCACCAGCTTAGCTCCATAGCTTGATATCATGTCCTGTAATTCTTTTCCGGCAAACATGAATATCGCAGACGGTGAATCGTAATCTCCAGCAGAAGCAGAATACCAGTTATCCATCGAAAGAACCCCGGACACGAGTCTTAACTTTTTTCATATTTAATGAAGGTGTAAAAAATCACCCCTTCTTCGCTGGAAAGAACCTTCAAGTAAGACATGACAAGGGCAAGACCAAAGAATGGTCGTCCTAGAATGAATGATGGCCAAGAGCCTGACGACTGAAGTATCATAAGAAAAAGGCGGTACGATACCATAAGTTTGGGACTGAGGGTAATGATCAGTGTACAGTAAGTCGCTAAAAAAACCGGAAAGAAGGAAAGAAAGAAGGCCCCTTCACAGGAATCTCGACAGGCGAAATTTAGATCTCCGGCTTTACGATTCTGGTGGCGCTTTCCACTTACGGCACTAGAATACCAGCTCGTCTCCTCGTCTCATCACCCAGTGACTTGAAAATCACGCGGAAGCTTTTGATATATAACCAAAAAAAAAAAAAAACAAGGAAATTTCAGAAGTTTTAAAAACCCGGTATACCAATATCCATAATCAGCTCCTTCCCAAACTGGTGAAAAGGCTCGGCTGTCCATCTCGTTCCCCTGGCACCCAGACTCCTCACTAAACTTCCGGTTATTATTGATTAACATTGGGTCCCCCACCTGGGAGCCAGATTCGTCAGATTTCCGATAGGAATTGAAATGCCAGGTAAGCTGGCGGCATAGTAGAACGTATTTGTTTCAATCGTTCGTGCAAGGATTTGCTACTCTACCGGCGTCATGTCGCTCCGGGGGCCTCACGTGAACAAGGTCTAGCCATCTATCTTTCTTTTATGGTTTCTCAATGCCATCCCTAGATTAAGAGGACAATTGAGAATATGCGGCATCCGGGCGACTTAAGGGCTTATGGTCACAGAATATCCGACTACGCACCGGTAGTTGGCTACCGGTAAATGCGAACCCGTGAAGCGGCCTGTTACGAAGAATCTACGCATAGTCAGTATGGCATTAGAAAACATTCACTCTTCAACCTCCGAGTGAGGGGGGGTGATGTGAAAACTTGCTTAAAAGCCACAGCATTCAGCCTGCCACATTATCCTACCATCGGTACTCGAACCTGCGTTCCTATCGGTTGAAAAAAAAAAGTGTGTATTCAGAAATTTTATTACAAAAGAGTGAACGAGAGCAACATCAACATTGCCACCGATATCCAGAGAAAACAAAGCTAGCCCTCCATAAAGAACACTACGTATCGGTACAGTCAAACGGAATGGAGCAGCTAGCTTTTCATGATCATCCAGCCTCCGCTGCCCCAGCCGCTCATAAAGAAGCTTCTGAAACGCAACCCACAGTATCACACACCCTACCAAAAAAAAACCATCAACACCTTGTACACACTTATTTATACCTCTCTCCGCTAGAAGTATTCCACCATTTTTGCTCAGTGATGACCCTGTTTTCAGACACAGGAACAGCCTTCCTCTTCTCTTCCATAAAGTTGTAAACTTCAGTGTGGTTATCATCGTCAATATCCCAGGTTTCCTCGACATGTTTCACCTTCTTGACCGCGCCACCACCGGCCGCTGAGGAAATGTTGTCTACCCAGGTACTCTCCTGGTTTTTAACTATGCGCTCCCCAGGTGCGCCGAGTGGCCCATGGACACCACTAGTTCGGCTGGAGGAGTCACGGAAAACCTCTTTACGTGTCTCGCCGTATGGTGTTGGGCCAGGCCGGAGAAATCCAGGATTCCGAAGGGCCTCATCCGTGCGAGAATCATTAGCGAATTTTGTAATATGAGCCTCCTTGATACGTTCATCAGTGTGGCGTCCAAGACGGCCTCCATTGCTCTTGTGGTCATGCCGTTGTTCAGCTTCAAACTCGAAGTGGGTGCGAGAATCAGAAGAAATTCCAGTGCGATGATTGCTATGGTTGGAATTATGCTTTCCGCGATGGTCACGGGAATGGCCATTAAGGATATTAGAATCAGAGAGTTTGTCGTCTTGCCACTCAGCAGATTTCCGGCGGTAGAGATCAATTTCGCCACTTTTTCCGTGACGGTCATGTTCATGTCCATGACTGTGACTGCGGTGGTGATACTTATGGCCATGATGACTTCCGTGGCCGGTGACTGCTTGCTTTGCAGCACTTCCGATATTAGCCCCAATGGCTGCGGCTGCAGCCAAGGCATTGTTAAGAACGCCGGAGACAGAGCCGTGTTGGCCATGCGAATCAGTATGACCCTTATGGACAGCGGCCCTTTCGATGATGCGAGTATCGCCCAATCCACTGCGGCTCTCGTGGTGGGAGAGTTTGTCACCCTGAAACCGCGAGTCAGTCAAGACATCGACGTCTTTCCCCTCATGGGAAATGACATTTTCAGAGCGGGTCCGGCTCTCAACGAAACCCCCATGCCTAGCACCACCGAGGGGCTTTCCACGATGAATTTGGGAATCAGAGTGATCGCTAAAGTTATGTCTCTCATGGACCTGAGCCTTTCCCGAGTGCATATGCGAGTCACGGGAATCGAGGAAATCATTTTGACCGGAATGGCGAGAGGATTTGCCAAGGCGAACCAGTGAGTTGCTGTGACCGTGGCTATGGCCACGGCCGTGACTGGCCCCATGTTCATGTTCCTCACGAACGGCCGTCTTCTCGGTTATGATACGACTATCCGCAAGTCCATTGAAACCTTCCTTGTGGAAGGATCCGCCACCACCACCACGTATGCGCCTGTTACTCATACCGCCATGGCCACGGCCGCGCTCTTCATGGAAGCTAGTTTCTCCGGAGTGAATACGAGCGTCAGTCAAGTGGTCGTGACCAGCATGATGGGATGATCTGCCAATATGGGCTAGGTCGTGTGGTCCGTGTCCATGTTCGTGACCTCCATTGATGGTGGTTTTCTCGACGCGGGTGTGCGAGCCAATCAACCCATCTCCATGGCCACGCCCATGACGGTGATCCTCGATTACTGTCATCTCCCCGGTATGGATACGATCGTCCCTCAATTCCCGAACATCAACATTTTCAACCAAGCCAGTACGGCTGTGGTCGGACATCCGGACCTCGTCTTCGAACCGATTTCGGGGACCCGTGAAATTAACAGCACGGGACTGATGATCACTAGACCGGGCAAACTGGTTGTGGAAAGCAGCATCGGAAATAGCCCCGGTAGCCGTAATGACATGACCCTGGTGGCCTGTAGTCTTGCCAAACCGACCGTTGATAGGGGCATCGGCCATAGACTTATTGACACCATCCCTCCATTCTGCCACTCTCTTCTCCTTGGTGAGCGCAACAACCCCTCCACCTTGGACAGCGTGCCCCCCGAGTTGGTCACGTCGCTCCTGCCTTTTGGTGTGCGAGACAAAGTCTCCACCATGGGCGGAGTGCCCTTCGTGCTGTTCACGTCGTTCATGCCTGTTGGTGTGTACGACAGCCTCTTCACCATAGGCAGCATGCCCTTCCTGTTGGTCACGTCGCTCCTGCCTCTTGTGCCTGCTCTTCAGGTGTGCAGCGGCAGCCCCCGCCGCAGCTGCAGCGCCAAGTTTCACCCCTCTACTGAGGTGGTGACTGTTGCGATTATTGTGCTTTCCGACCAATGGTGTGCGCTCAACAATCTTCTCCTCGATGTGTCCAACCTCGCCCCGGCCCCCCTCGATTACACTTGAAACCTTTGATCTCCCTGCTTCAACGCCATGTTTGACAACATCTGCGGCACCAACAGCCCCGCCCACGAGCTTCTTGCGTTTATGCCCCGCATCGTCATAAGCGTCCTTAGCTAAAATCCGGGTGGTCGATCTAAACGAGTGGTCATCCGCCCTATTATAGGCCCTCATTACGAAGTAATAAAGCGAGAGAATTGTCCGATGCACAGATTCCTTGATGAGGACGGATATACCTATCTCAACGTGTTAGATGGAAAGACTTTGGCAGAGAAAGAAGGGCCGACATACCATTAGAAACAAAACCCCTCGTTATCTCAACCATCACGCCTTCATACAAAGCGGTTATCCCCTCCCGTTTGAATATATCAATCAACACATGGACTACATTGTTAGCCCGCTTCACCTTCCTTCTAAGACCCTTTTTGATGGCTTTCCCAACAATATTCATGTCGGCGGCAGCAATATCTTCTTCCTCGGCTTGGATTTGTGTCCTCGATTTTGCCACAGCCAGTGGATAGGTAATTCCTGTAGCGATCGCTTTACTTACCGCCGCGAGTAAGAAGGTTTCTCCACCCTTGAGTTTCTTCTGTTTTCCGCCCGCCACTCTCTTCAAGCCTTCATAGAGCAAGTAGGTGATTGTCGGATTCAGTGTCAGCAGGAGGCCTGCGGAGTACCCAGACCAGAAACCTGTTATTCCCTTTTCTCTCATAACATCGTAGAAGATATCAGTTATCGTAGGTGGCTTCGCATCCGGGTACATGAGCGAATGGGTCTGCTTGCGAGTGACGATCGTGGAGAAAGGAGTAGATATGAATTTAGCGGCCGAGCCGGCAGCAATGCCAATCAGTATTTCCTCAATGATTGGCAGCTTGCGTGCGTGCTGAGAATGCAAACGCTTATTACGGAGGTAGTGATCTATCACACAGTAATCAGTACCATCTCTCAGCAAGCATCGATCAGGGAAATCTCACGAATCATTATATGCACAAACGTGCTCCCTATAACACCCGCTGTCTCCTCTACAGCGCCAGTGTAGAACCCACTTATACCTTCTCTTGCATAAATCCTTCCAACAGTTTCGAAAAAGCCATCATAATATTCTTCACTGCTACTTTCATAATGGCGTGCTTCCCAGACCACCTTGGTCCCCTCGGCCCCATGCTCGACATATGGCGCAGTATAAGATACGTGCTCCTCAGTTTTGCGGGAATGAGATCCACCCCTTTCCCTTCTCCCACGCCGATCGTCCGACCTCAAAGGTGAGCCACCGCGCGACCCCGTCCTTGTGCGACTGTGCGAGCGTCTCCGGTGGGAGCCCGACGAAGACGACGACGAAGATGAACTACGGCTCGTATTCCCCTTCTTTCGGTGGGAACGTGAGCGTCTTGACCGTCCACCATGGGCATAGTAAATCTGGCGCTGTGTTTGCATGCGCTTCACCACAACCTCCAAGGGAAAAGTAGCCAAATTGGCGATTGAAGATGCTAGCGCGCCGGAGAAAGCAAGCGCAGCCGCAGGTATTGCATTCTCCCCACGATGGTGTGACTTGTGATGGTGCCGGTGGTCATCGTGATGATCATGGTGGGGAGGGCGACCGTGATGTCGGTTGAGGGTATGGCGGTCACGATCTAAAAGATTGCCAACCTGGTTGTGGGAAGGCGGCGAGGACGAGTGCTCAATTGTGCAGAGTGCCTTCGGTTTTCTATAATAGATTGGTCAGATATCGCGAGAAATATGAAATAGTACGTGGCTGTTTACGCGACATGGTACACATCAAACACGTCCTGAAAAAACGCGAAAATTAACATAAAGCCCATTTCCATTCCAGCAATGTCACAACGTGAGGGGGAACCCACCAGTTCGTCATCGTAGTAAACCATCTCGTCTCGTTAAAAGGGATTCCAACTTCCTCAATAATAATTATTCCAACAACAAACAAATCCAGGACAAAGATTAAGCAGCAACTACAGTCCAGCGTCTAAACACGTAGCAGACGCGGATAAGCAAAGAAGGACCATCAACACAACAAATGAACAATCAGAAAGAAGTAAGAATAGTCGAAACAAGTCTTTTTTCTTTCTCCTTCTCCTCTTAGCCCCCTTTGCGGGGGATCAAGGATACTCTAAAACGATATCGAAGAGTGAGCGGAAAAAACTCATGAGAAGTCAATTGCTGCGGGGAAGAAATAAAAGACCACGACAGAATTGCAAGAGTGTTTGGGCACACACAGCAGTCTTATATCGTAAAGCGGAAGCAGATCTGGGAAAAGAAGGTTCAGGTCAGAGTTACAGTAATCCAAAGGGAAAGAAGCTCTGGCCCGTGGGCAGCTGAGCGTGCTACAGCTGTGAATCTGCGATCACCCGAGGTCTTGGCTTCCCGTCTGGTGTTCCAAAAGGGAAGGATGTTACCGTATGGGAAGACCAAACTTCCTCCTTAGCCGTTGTGTTGAGACCTGCAAGAGCGTCTCCCTTTCTCTTCAACCTTGCCCCCTACGAGTAGATTTCGTGAACGCCTATTAAGAAGCCCTTCAGTGACAAGAATAGGCGAAAAAGGCAGAGGAAAATAGTCAGCAGAAGTGACAAGAAGAAAAGCATGCGAAATCAAATAAGATAAATAGAGTGCTAGTAGAGATCAAAGATAGGCGTAAACAAATCCAGTAGTCAATCAGAGCGCCCCCCTCCATCAGCTTATACAGCGAATAGGTAGCTGCTGACAGCCTTAGCCCCGTATAACTTCAACAATACGAGAGCAAATGCCTCCCGGTCCCGCAAATTCTTGACAAACCAACGAACATGTCAAGGCCAGGTGGCAGGAGCTGAAGCGTGCATCAGAAAAGCGACTCGCTATCAGAAAGCACCATCGTTGAAACAATTATCAAAGTTTGGTATCCAACATACACTCGGGAACCCACTGTGCACAACCAGCTCTCAACACCATGGCCAATGATTCCACTGAGCGGCTTCCATGCCCCAACAAGAAGAGAGCGATCACGGACATCTTTCCTCTCGGCACGCTTCTAACGATAAATAGGGTATTAAGTGGGAAAACTATCTTACCATTTGGCTCAAAATTGCATAAAAATCTTATCCTGTGCCGTCCTTGCTTCTCCTCCTACCAATAAACATAGTCTCCCTACAAAAACAAAAAAAAGAGAGAGAACTCGTAGCTCACCGCAATTATCCAATGCCCTATGTCCCCCAGATCCCCCGTAACGTAGAGCAGCCTGACCTCACCAATGTTTTCTCAGAGCTCCCTGTATAATGCATTGCCCACACGTATGTTACCGGTATCTAGAAACTGAAAGCTTGGCCGAGCAGGGTGGACACGGGCTTAACGGGCTTGTAGCCTAGAGCTACAGTAGCTTTCCTCCTAGCACCGGCCATAGGAGGAGGATCGCGGAGCAGAATGTTAGTATCGGCGGGGGGTGAAGGACATATTTTATCAATTACATATCACCGCTATCAGCCCAAATTTATCATTTCATGTCTCACCCAACAAACACAACAGATGCGGAGAGAAAATTTTGATAGCTGGACAAGCGAGATCAGAAAGCCTCACTTTGATCATATACTCCGTCACGAACCCAGCCCATCCTTCCAGGCTTCGGGGGTATTATTCAACAAATGGTGGACCAGAAAGTTGCCATGTGTTCTGACCACTCCATCAAGTTCACCCCTCAGCAAGATATCTCCCGGGCTCATATTGGCGAATATAAAATCAACCTATCCTATCCTCTGGGTTCCTGACAATAGCCCTAACGGCCTGGAGTATAGGAGCTAAACTAGTATCACACCTCTAGGAATCATCCCGAATGCGCGTACGAAGCCAGACCGACACACGAATTGTCCCTTTGGACCCTTGGTGCTAATGATCTGCCCGATCTCGAGCGATGCAATATGCCGGAAATGTTTCCGGCTGTATAGGACTTGGTCAGCACACACTGGAGGATCCACGGTCGGTCTCGTCAGAAGATACAAGCGTGTAAGACCGAACTAGATCTGCACCGCTAGTTTTTGCAGGGAATTCAATGGGTTAACCGATCGGAAGCTCAAGGGCGCCGGTAGAGCCTGGGAGAGCGAATTTATAGCTGCCGGGGGCTCTGTCGGTGGTCGCAGAAGTCACACCGGTGTGACCATGAAGTTACTCTATGGGCTTACATTCCAGTGTCGTGAGACTGTGCTGTGGCTTCTACGGGTGTAAACCCTTTCCACCCAAATTTATCTACTCTCGACACTCCCCTTGTGCCATCTTTAACACAACCGTTAACTTAATGGCAAGCTCTATCAACAACCCCAACGCCACACCAATACTTGCGGCCCTTCAGAAACCGAAAACCTCCGATGATCAATGCTGCCGGTACCACATAGGGAGCATATGCATGGCTCAATAAAGCTGCGATAAACACCAACATCCCAGCAGGAATACAGAGGTTTCGCCGATATTCGGAACCGAACAACGAATCATCAGCGGCAGAAGTGGCGTTCGGCGTAATTCCAAGTGCTTTCTTCATGGGGCGGAGGAGAACAAGGGGAATAAACAAGTGGTACCTCTTTGGGAAAATACCACGTTGACATCAGAGGCAGAGCTGTGGACGGGGCCAACTTAATTTCTTAGGACACGTATTATATCTTTTTCTCTGGGCCCCTCCATTTTAATTTGACGTCTCCCGAGGAAAAAAAAAAAGACTCCAAAAGAGCAACAATTATTGTTTACTGATAGTTTGATAAATACTGCATTGAGACGAGATTGCTCGGATAATACATAATATTACAGGCATCAGCGATCCACACGACTTGTGGATGGCTGATGGGGTTAGGTGCATCCAGGCTCCAAGGGTCCAGGCACCCGTGGCCAAGCCCAAAATACCCTTCTGGTCGTACCGATAAGGCCTTGCCGATCCATTTACTCCGCTCCCCCCGCCAAACTCCATTCCACACACAAGTACTTGTGCAAACAATTCCCAAACTGCTAATTTCTTGACTCAATTCCCAGTTTGGGCCAGGGCCACCTCACGGAGGTATTCTAACCAATAACGAAAATGACCAAGTCGGACCCGACAGCTGTTAGATCGGTGGACAAAGTAGCTGAGGCTCAACACGATGGATATCAACTCACCGATCGGGATATTCAACAGCTAGCCTTGACCGATGCGGAGTACAAACTCCAGACCTGGGAGGATTTGAAGGCTATAGTTGGTTTGCTCAACCTCCACAATCCTCACTTGAGTTAAGTAGAGAAACTAACAGAAGCTTGCTCCCTCTCAGAGGAGAATAGACTTGAAGACCTTAAACGTGTCCCTTCCGATTTGAAGCGCTATATCTCGTGGTCTCATAAAACCAGACAGGAGTATGGAACTATTCAGGCTTTCGTATTAAAAGAGAGATTAGGATGGTCAGATTTGGCACCAGAGAATCCGACCCCGTTTGCTTCCAAAGGTTTGCCCTAATTCCAACTTGCAGGGCTGCAGATTGGAACATGTGGTTTCAGATCGGGCGAACAAAGATCAATCTCAATCTAAAATTACTAATTATCACGCTTGTAGCCGATACCAAAATATTGGTTAACGATTGGCCATATGGAAATGCTCCCGGTATATGTAAGCTCCTACCTCTCTGCTCCATATCGGCATCTGTCTTTGTGTAACATTGTAACTCTACTTGCCCATTTCAAAGGTACCGGTTTCCCGAAATCTTGGCGCTTTACAGGCCCAACTCGTGCCAAGACCCCAATACTTTTGGAATGGGCAAGTCCAGTGCAAGTCCACGATGTCTCTGATAACTAATCACCCCTAACAGTGCACCTGGTGGTCTGGACAAAAGCTCCCATCCCAATAATTGAAGGGCCCGGACCCGGAGCCGGTGATATAACACCCGAATCTCGCAAACTTATCAACGACTTTGTCCAACACACCTTTTTTCAGCACCTAGGCTCCGAGAACGTGCTTTGGTTCAAGAACTGGGCCAGTATTCAGAGTGTCCGCAGCGTTGAGCACATTCACGTTCTTACACGTGGGGCTAGTAATGAGTTTCTGGAGAGAGTTCTTGGCTTGGAGGCAAATGGAGAGATGAAGGGCATCGGTGAGCTGGAGCGGGAGAGAGAAGGGAAGGAGAAGGCTCAGAATATCGAGTAATTTGTCATAAGGTATAGGACGGCTAAAAGGCAAAAACTGAGAAAACTATAGTGGCGCTAAGATAGCTGGTAGGGGAGGACGGACTTTCTCTCTTTTTTTTTTCAAATTCTAGATTACCGGTATCTGTGGATCCTGAGGTGGTACTTCTGGCAGGATAGATCAATTGTGAAATCTTGGTGGGTCGCAGCTGTGGGGTGCTTATCGTGCGAAATGTTCAAAGGCAGGCTGGGGAAGCGAGCTTGTTACGGTAGTTACTGGCATCATACTGCCACTGCACCCCCTGTGGGTAGGTAGTATAGGGGGAAAGGGGCTTAAGGCCATCCGGAACCCTGGATGTCAGTCTCGGAGGGTTTGTTTGCCAAACCTTACGAGCACTAAAGTTTGCCAGAAAAATATCATGGAATAGATGGAGACATAGTCCGCAAACCCAACTAGAGCCTCCACCATTACCTTACAAAAGGACTCGCTATTTATTAGTACGGGAAGCCAAGTGGTTGAGTGCATTTTAGAGTTGGACGTGAGAGGCGGAAAGATTAAGTTTGGTGTGGTTTCTGACTAAGGTACGCCAAGCCGCTTCGGGGTGGAAGTTAGGAAACACACGACTTTGAGGGCCGAAAACCCCATACAAATATTTGACTAGAAATTCGACTGGAAAGGAGGCCGAGCTGAGGGGGGTAAAAAGTTCGGCGAGGGAAGGTGGTTGTCATGGGGCCACCAGATACAATGTTGATCTGTCTCCCTACTTCCAGCCCTCACTCCCATATAAATAGGCTCCCCCAGCACCAGTCTTTCCTCTTCCTTTCCTTTTCCTCTTCTTCTCTTGTTCCCTCGCCTCCAGCCAACGACTTTCTAACCAACACAACAACCTCTTTGACCAGCAACCCCCCGATCACCGCCACCACCACTACCACCATCACCAATCTTCAAGAAACGAAATATCGTTTCTCTTTCAACATCCATTAGCCTTCGCTTTTTTAACTTACAACTATCAATATGACCGGACGTAAGTTATCCCTTTTACTCTACCTTTTCCTCCCCGCTACGCTTTCGCGGTCGGCTCTGTTGTGGTCGCTTTTCCAACCCACGACGCGTCTCCCCAATACCAGCTATCAACCAGACTCACCTAGCTTCTATCATCAACGAAAATAATCCACTAACATGCTATTGATGTAGGCGGAAAGGGTGGAAAGGGTCTTGGGAAGGGAGGAGCGAAGCGTCATCGCAAGATTTTGCGTGACAACATTCAAGGTTAATACTTCATTGAGTCCCCGCCATCTCTGCCATCCTAACACTATAATAGGTATCACCAAGCCAGCCATCCGTCGTCTCGCGCGTCGTGGTGGTGTCAAGCGTATCTCTGCCAGTATGTTCACTTCACCCCTCGTTCTTCTACTCTTCAATTCTAACACTCTACATAGTGATCTATGAAGAGACCCGTGGTGTCCTTAAGACTTTCCTCGAAGGTGTGATCCGTGATGCAGTCACCTATACCGAGCACGCCAAACGCAAGACCGTCACTTCCCTCGACGTTGTCTATGCCCTCAAGCGCCAGGGCCGTACTCTCTACGGTTTCGGTGGCTAAATACCCTTCCCTCTTATTTTTTCGGTGTCTATTTTTCTCGGGGTTTTCCAAAAAAAAAAGGATGATGGGAGGGAGCTTTCAACGCAGATGATGTTCGGGCTTTTCGTTTTTGAGAATCTTTTCCCTTGTTTCTTTTCCGGCCAAGGAGAGGGAGGCTTCGTGTTTCGATTTTTAATAGCTAGTCCATGTGCTACGGTGATCGTTTTGTACTTGTCTGGATTCTGAATAATTGAGTTCTACATACAATCTTTTTTCCCGTTCGTTGTGCCATATAAAAAATCCGTCACGTTCCTGCTCTCAAGATGATAGTGCAAAGAAATCATAACCGAAGCCAGCATAAAGACGGCGCAATTGTGGGACCGCAAAGACTACGAAAGAAAGGGGGAGAGAGCGCCATTACGATAACCTGTCCAGCGAGCCGCGCAGGGGCAAGAGCGCGCATGATACTTATCCTAAAGCGGCACCGTTTTCGGGATCCTGCAGGGCCGCGGACCGGCCAATGTGTCGATAGAAAGACCATCTTACCTCAGGCTCCGGTAAATCTCGATAGCTTTCATGGTCATGTGTTGTCACTCGTGGTGGCAGTTTCTGCGGAAGGTCTGGATCGGGGGACTTGATTTTGCGGTGGGTTTGGTGGTGCTAACTGTACGGGTAGAGTTGGTCCAAGGAGGTCACCATCGTTGTGCGGACGTGTGTTTCAGGTTTTAACTGATGGATGGACGGATATATGTTGGTTTTCTAACCTACTCTTACAATATGAGCAGTAAAATAAGCCATGAGATGGACAAGATCGCTGTCATCACCGTTGGTATAATATCTAAACAAATCCCCAGCCGTGAGCATGCCGGTAGACTCGACCGGGTATCCCTTTTTTTCTCCTTCTCCCCAGCAAACAACAATAGCAGTAAAACAAACAAGCAAACAAACCACCACCATTAATTATACCGGACCTTCTGCCCTCCCCTCTTCTCCGCCTTCCTCTGCCGATTGCTCTGCGGTCCCTCCGGCGTAGCGGTGGCGGCGGGTGGCGACATTCCGGGCATCATACCACTCATACCACGGTACATCCCGACAGCCAGGTAAACCGCGTACATGGGAACGATAGCCTACCTCACCATTAGCCACAGTCCGCTCCTTTCGAAGGGTAGAAAACATACCCAAACCCACCACCCCCACTCCCCCGCCACACCAACAAGTCCGAGCACGCCCCAAGTCACGTAGACAATATCCCACATGTACTCCGTGACGCCCTTGCCCTCCATATCCTCCCCCGCGGAAACCAACACTGGCGGCCCCCCATTGCCTCCAGAGGCGTATTTCGGCCGGCCCAGGCGCTCGAGGTAGACTTCTATTACCAGGGATGGGAGCGAGAGGATTACGTACTTTCTCCAGGAGCCGGAGCGGTAGAGTAGGCGGTAGAGGATGAAGAGCGTGTGAAGGACGAGGGTAGTGAGGTGCGTGCGATTCAGGGTCGCGGTATTGGCGCGGGCGAGTTGTTTTGCGGCTTTCTGTGGGGGAGGGAGGGTTCGTTTGCTCGGTTAGCTACCGGTAGGTGTGTGATGGGTATGAGAGGGGAGGGAGGAAGGAGGGAAGAGGGAAGGGAGGAACTTACATTTGCCATTGCGGATTATTCACGGGGGGGTCGTGGTTGTTGTTATTGTCGAAGGAGCAATGTTGGTAGTGTGATACAAGTGGTGTGGAAAAGGTCCATAAAGGAGAAACGATAAGTGGGAGGACAGGTGTTTTAAAAAACTCATGTTTTTACATACAGTACCAGTACAGTAATCGTGTCCGTCGCTTCGCCCCGATGAGGCTTCTTTTATCTTATCGCATTATCAGATCCAAGATGTCGAGATCAGATTGGAAGGCGGAAGAAGGATCAAGGTATGATAATGATATCATGAAGTGACTAAGCAAAAGGTCTTGGGTGCTCTCGCCCGCTGCCCATCAAAAATGGTCAAAAGCCTCACTTTTCAGTTGTTTGCAGTTCATCAAGAGCAGGCGCTCCTTTTCCCATATTTTCAAATTCAAAGGTCACTTCATCTGTGTGATACCTCAGGACTAATTTGAAGTTGGCTCAGCACCAACTGCAGTGTGCTGCAAGCTCATAAAGTTGTGTCATCACCTAAAAGTCGTCATATTATTGGTCCACTACTGCTGAAGAATTGCCATGGCAATACCACATCATAAGGTTGCATGCTTTGATAAGCTGCAACACAATGGGGGAGGGTCAGAGGACTCCCAAAGGAGTTGGGCAATAATGTCTACATGTGTATATAACCACTTGGTAAATTTGTCGCCCTAGTTCAGGATATGAGCTCATATAAAAACCCCTCAAGTTTTGGTGTAAATGTGCCGAACCACCAAGACTTTTGCCCAGTCACTTTATCTTACTCGAGTACCGGTACTCCGGGGTGGACATGAGGGAATTTTACCAGCCAAAATTTAGGTGCCCAACTCCAGCCACAGCGGCTTCGCGATGCTCCATCCATTGACTGGCCAATTGATTCGAGAGCCAATCCGAGCGGGTTCGCCTCACTTACGGGCTCCAACTCGGGGGTATGACCAACAGGGAGTAAATTTATCTGGCGGACGAGTCCGATGGGGTGAACTGGTCGACGCAAGGTATGATAACTCCTTACTGATCGCCGTCCGTCATCGGCCCAGCAAATACTGCACCCTTGGCCCTCGGTACTTCGACTTCAACTTCTGCGCATCGTGGGAGAGGGACCCCCGCTTGTCCCCAAGCACCATTCGTCGCCCCGTCGAGTAAAAAAAAAAAAAGTGTCGTGATACCCCACGAAGCCCACCGGCAGACCAATCCGTGCACAAGCGTCTTTGCCAAGCACACCAAATACCGGTATCCGACTTGCGGGGGCGTTCTTCGTAAAGATGCGTGGGTAATAATTCCCTTTTTTCGTTAAACACATGACCTCGATTTACCGAACCCCGTTCGGGGGAAAATGGAGAGTTTGGGTCGAATGGCTTTTCTCCCCTCTGTTACCCTGCAGATCTTTCGGGTACTTGAACCGTAGCAGGCACTGGTCGGTTGAGGTAACTGCGGTTAATGGGCATGCGCGGGACAAAACGAAGCAAATGGGCAAAGGAGAAAAAAAAACTGCCCTGGTCAATCTTGTACGTGGTGAGCTGCTTTTTGATCTCTATGGAGGGCTATTTTATAAAATAGCGACTAACTTACCTGGTCTACGCCATGCATCCAGGAAAAAGCCGAGAAAAGCAAAAAGTAAGAGCCAAGAGAGATTGCCTTACAGTGCAGTTTTGTGTCCCTTTCAACGCCATGAGGAGATATGTGCAAGGAAATGAACTCTCCCACATGTTTTGCACTACTGCTATCCCCATTGCTACTTGTAGAACTAGTATACATGCTAAAGCTCCTCACCACGTCATGTGCATGGCTTCCAAAACAATTAGGCCGCCGTCACTGGGCGAAAGCCACCAGTAAGATAATAAGGATAGAGGTGTTGATGGTGGCACCAAAAGTCTTATCGAATTTCTTGCGGCCCTAGTCCAGTGAAGACGGCCCAATTGCTCAGGAAGCCGCGCACATTTCGCTGATATATCCCCGCCCGGTGTAATCTCGTGGAGCGAACAATGGGTTAGGGGCCAAAAATGAGAAGATAGAAGGAAGGAATAAAGTGCTTCTGAGAGAGTTGAGATGGGGTTTCAAGCAATAATCGCAAGTCTGCTAGATAAAACCTCCTCAATGGGGTTGTTATTTTATCAGAGTATTGACAATTGCTTAAAGACTCATCTCAACCCTCTCTCTCGCGCATAGACCTGAGTTCGAGTGTAGCGTCCCCCGTAATCAGGGTGTCTGGGGGGTTGCCGTTTGTAGCCAAGCGATACGGTGGGGGTAGATTCGATGCGGTCTTTACTGGAATTTGCTCTTTGGATTCAGATTCTGAGGGGCGAGAGTTAGAATAGCGATATTACACATATAACACAGGTGTGGTGCTCACTGTTTAGACGGAGGTGAAATTAATCTGAGAGTGGATGTCGATGAAGTCTCTCTTCATGGATTTCCTCCCGCTTTACGGTATGCTTAATGTTTTTGAGGAGCTGGCTGCATATTGTAAAGGGGTGGAAACCCTAGGGGAAAGGAGATGGCGGAGCGGGTTTGAGTCGAAAGGAGAGGGTTGGACCTGGGGCGCGCCGGGTTTCCAATATGGTTGATTTTGTTGCCCTCTCTTCGATTATAGCCTTTCTCTGACATCTCCTATCCTCGGCTACCGAGTGATCTGAACAAAAAACTCGCAAGCCCATGATGTAAATCTCTAACGCATGCACACACCACCGTCTTCGGGAGTTCTCGTCTCCAGCTCCCATCATCACTTGTACTCCGAGTACCCCAGAGCACAAAAAACTGCGTCCCGAACTATCCGTTATAAGTTCCCGCTTTCGCAATGTCGCTCGCAAGGGTTTGAAACATCATCGCTCTAGAGTATATGGTTTGATGACACTCGCACCAGTGACGTTCGGCATCTCGTATCTCTTGTATATCGGTCTTCCTGGCACTTGGATACCAAGGCTAGGCCGAATATAATGCTTATTATCGAATCAATAGATCGGAGATCTGATGTACGAAACGGACAAGAGGAAGCGGAGGCTGGGAATCTCACTGAATAGGCCCTTTATGAGTTTTCACCGGCAAACAGTGGGATTTTGTGATATGGTGGTCAGCCTACCTTAAACAGTTGGTCACATCAACGTCTGTTTCTCCTTCGCTCTTAGCCGGCATTAGGCCCCAGCTGTGCTAACATCTTCAGCCTGAAAACACCTGGACTCAATGAATTTTCGGACCAATGCTATCCCTGCCAGCGTAGCGCGAAACCCTTTGGCATTTGGGACGGGCATTGGCTATTTTGTCTTGAGCAGCATGTAGTGGGCGCCACATGAAGGCAGGCCAGGCTTTAGGTCTTGCGGCGGGGGTATTTCGTTTTGTTTGTAGAAGGTAAATATCCACATAACTCTGTTTTTTTCGACAGCGATCATCGCCGAGCTCTAGCTTGCTGTTATCCGTCGGGAAAACAGGCCCGATACTACCAGAGGGCGAGGCCTTCAGCCGAGGCAACCATGACGCAAAGCACACCCGAGCCACATGGCCCTTGGCAGGAGGGAGTGATGATATGGTGCTGAGGACGTGGTGTAGCGACCGGATTCTAGTTGCGGAGTTCGAGCCGGAATTATTGCGAACGGCCACACCCTTGGTACTACCACCTGAGATTCCGAAGCACCGTGGGTGAAAATACAAGGGGATTCGTGGATCTTGTGCTCGCATTATTGGCTCCGCGTGCTCTATCATTATCTAGGGAGAACCTTTCCTGTCTTGTGGTTTTCTTTTCAAAGAGTTATTCCCGAACGGCTTCTGAATCCAGACCGAATCCTCGAATAAGGCAGGAAGCAGTAGGCAATGAACTACCCGGTGGCTGAAGTTCACTCTCCGGCCACGAAGTCATTCAGAGCGTTATGCCAACGGTTGTTTGAGAGCAACTAGAATTGTCAGAGTTGGTTTGGCCAGCAAGGATGTCGGGGCTATTACTCACAGCATAGAAGGCTTTTTCTTGTGGTGTTCCAAGGGTTGTTACCCTGTAGCCTTTATAGGAGACGGTTCTTGGTTCGAGTGGGAGACTTGGCGCTTTTCTCTTGGGTTGTGGGTCCCGGAGCAGTTCTCGCATTATTGGGGCCAGGTCTGGTGGCAGATAAGTAGCCAATCGGATCCGGTTCCTTCCTCATGAGATACGAGGCCCCGATCAGAGAGGCCCATTTCCGACTCACAGATCATCACTCGGGGTCGCCGAAGGACGAAGGAGGATCTTAGCGGGGTACGGGGTGTAGAAGGTAGGGGAGTGATGCCTTTGGAGTATCAGCTGGGGCATCCAATGATTATAAGTTGCTTGTTAGACTGAAATTCTCACCATGCATCAGTATTTGCCCTTGTTCGTTTGTTGCACCACCTGAACCCTGCCAGACTTCTATTCTCTTCTGGCTTAGCAAGGGTTGTCAGCATTATATCGACCCGACCAAAGGTATCGTCTAATTCTCAGGTGAGCTTTACTTTCTTGTCTGCATGCCGAATCCTGAGGGCCTGCAGTACAAATTCCGATGATAGGCGGGGTTACTGGTATGGGCCCTTTAGTAATTGCATGCAGCCTTCATGTTTGGCGCCGGCTGAGAGGGGCCTTTCTCGGGGAAGCATAAGGGGGTCATCATAGCACCCGTTTTCGCTTCGGAACATGTCTCTAACCTTAAAGCCAGTTGATCAGTTATCACATGTTTGTATTCAGTGAACGCGTCTCGGGGCCTACATTCACCCATAGGTCTTTGTCGGTAATAACTCATTCGCAGGGTGGTAAGTAGCGGCCAAGAAGCGTCTCCCGGTGACACCTGTCGGACTAGTTAGGCTTTGGCTGAACTGCAGCATCTGTCGGAAAGGCGGGTGCAGATACGGGTTGTCGGGTTCGGCGGGGAGAAAGAAGGGGAAAAAAGAGGGGGGGATGGCGGGTCCTGGATGTCGTCTAACAAAAAAGCGACTGATCGATTCTTTTCCCGTCTGGTGGAGGCCTTCAAAAAGCTTTGTTTAGCTGACGTGTCCTTTTATCCTGTAGGAAGAAGCGAGATCAGACTGATGGTGCTGCTTGCCCTGTCGCTACCTCCAGTGATTCTTGGTTTTCGATTATCACAAAGTGACGGGAGCGAAACGGAAGGGAACGCAAGATCTATGCTGTGCTATCTTATGCACGAGGCCAGCGAAAAATAAAAACCGCCACGATGGTGGTGATGAAGGAGGGAGCAGCATTTGAACCTGGGAATCCTCATTCTTCCCCAACACAAGAGCAGAGGATCAAAGAAAGTCTTACCAGAGCCCGCAGGGCAGGAGGGTGCTGTCCAACATCTCCTCTTCATGCTCTCCCTCCTCTTCCCCCTCCTCTACCCCTCTCTCCCACCCTAAGTACTCCCACCCCCTCCTCCTTCTACTCGAGTACCGTAGTCCCCTACCCCTCACGCACCACTGGGAGAAAGATTAAAGGCTGCGATAAATTTTTTTTCCAAACGGGCAGTTGCTTTGGTTGCACCGCCTTAAGTAAGGGTAAAGTGCCGACGCTCAGGGCTCCGGGGCGTTTTGGCGTTTGTGGTGGATCCCCCGGAGTGCATCGGAGTGCATCATAACTCTCTAGTCAACCTCATCACCGGGTGCTCGGGATCACTTTTGTCTGGCGGGGCAAGTGTAAGACATGGACTCAAACTTGGCGCGCGAGTGAGTTGTCAAGACATAGTAACCCGAATTCCCAAGTGCCTGGAGAGGGCCAGTATACGCGGGATAGTCGAGCAGGGTACTGGTAGGCTATTATAGCACTGTACAGTAGCTTACAAGCGTGATAAAGCGGGGTACAAGTCTGCATACGAGAGTCTATTGGAGGATAGCTCAAGATTGGGTGCTTCAACGATTAATTGGATCCTTGGGATGTTAGGATAGGGAAGCCGTTTCACGCAGAGCTGCACTCACGGACTACCGTTAGAGGAAACATGGTATCGAAATTGACTAACCGCTGATACTCGCTGGAATACGGGATTTCACGGATCTGCCTAGCCTCTGACGCACACATGAATGAATGGATGGATGGGTGAAGCTGATTTTTAAAAAAGATACCGTATTGTACCCGTACAGAAGGAGGAAAAAGAAAAAGGTAGAAAGAAAAAAGAAAAAAAGCCATTAAAGCATCGAAAAATACTCGTCCACGCCCCTAGTATTTAAACCTCATGGCTCGTGAGAATAGGGCTTTTTTTTCATTTTTTCCCATAGTTTAGCGCTGTGCCACTTTTTTTTTTTTGACTAGCTAAGGCCTCTGACCTTCCACAAAGTGTAAGGCTTCTTCCTTGCTAGCAATTTTGACACTAGAGGTTTTGTATGTGTCCTGATAAAGCACGCCATAATGCTTGTCCGCGACCATAACGAGTTCTGGCCTGAATGTCGTACACTATTGATATGGTCCCACGTTAGTTGTATAACACTTTCAGCTATTTATTAATTTGTTGGGGTGGGGGGTGTCAAGAGAGTAACACGGTACATACGATAAATTGGCCATTTTCTGCCCGCGACGAGAGATCCTTCACCATTTGTGCGACTGCCGTTCTATATTGTGCTATGCATAACCCCATGTAAGCTTGTGGTACCAACGAGAAAAAAAACCCCGGGCGCAGGATTCCCAATAGCCGGGCTGTTGGGCTGTTAACAGCGAGTTAATATCCTGCAGGCCAGCAGACAGCACGTGTTACGTACTCCTGTTGATTAATCCAGCTCAGGGATTAACTTATTTTAGGGCCAATGCAGTCCGGTTCTTGAGAACCCTGACACAAAATAAAAAAAAAAGGCCCCTCCGCCAATAGCTAGTACTGGTAGATAAGATCCGACTTACCATCAAGATTCGCATCAACCTCATCAAAAAGGTAAAACGGTGCCGGATCACACTGCTGGATGGCAAAAATAAGAGCCAACGCACCTGCTAAAAATCAGCGAATCACTTCCTAATAACTGTTCAACTCTGCGCGATATACTCGAGCATCACCCCAAGAAATAGGGCGTGGGGATAGAATAACGTGACTTACACAGGCTCTTTTGCCCACCACTCAATTGCTGGATCCTCTGCTGCTCATCATGTCTCGAATTGAAACTCACGCTAATACCCACCCCCGTGTAATTCTCCACCCCACCCTTCCTGCCCTCCCCGTCATCATCGCCGCTACCTTCATCGTCACGTTCCTCCCTATCTATCCTCCTCTGTATGACAAGTCTCCCTCGCCCGGCTGGTACAAGTTTCTCGAAAATCTCCGCGAAATCTTTGGACACCTGTCTGAATGTCCGTTCAATGGCCTCATCCTTACGCTGGTCCAAAACCTGGATCAGCTCTTCAATAGAAGATTGACTGGAATCTAATTCTTCACGTCGCTTTATTAGAGTATCACGTTGTTTCGTGAAATTTGCATACTGTTCGAATGCTTTCTTGTTAACGTGGGAGTATTTTTTTAGAGCCTCGTTGACCTTATGAAGTCGTTTAACAACCTACATATCCTCCGAACGAATCAGTAGCTGCATGCTTTAAAAAAAGCAAGGGGGTGCATTAAAAGCTAGTGCTTGCCGCCAAGATTAGAGGCGCGCATTGCGCACCCAAATGTTGCTTTTTGAGGTCTTACCTGGTTGGAAGCCAGCCTCTCAAATTTCTCGAAAGCTTCTTCGGGTAATACTCCTAAATCTCTAATATTCCGACTGCATTCCTGGGCTTTGTCTGTAAGCAAGGCTCTCTTAGCCATGCTCCTCTCAATTTTTTTCTTCTGTCGCTCGATATTCCGTGCCTCCTCTTGCTGTGCCGTCTGCAGCTCGGTCTTCTGACGCTCAAGGTCCTCGAGTTCCTTTTTTGCCCCATCAAGTTCTTGATCGACTTCATCTAGTCTGGTCCTGACCCTATCAATTGACTTTCCGATTCGCTTCAACTCTCTCTGGCTTTCCTTCAGATCACTGCGTCGCCCACCTGACCCCGTGGTCTCCAAGTTGTCCATACTCTGTCCCTTTAGTTGATCAAGTCTCATCCGTAGGTTCTCTCGTAGCTCGACCTCAATGATAGACTTTCGGCTTTCCTTTTCGGCCCTCTCCAGAGCTACCACCGACAGGGCCTTCCGTAGTTCTTGGACAGTTCCGGTGAGTTCTTCGAGTCTAGCTTCCTCAGCGGGAGTGAGAGTTTTCTTGAATTCGCTGCTGATCTCTGCTTGATATGCTTCCAGTTGCTCGCCCAGGCTCTTCAAGCTTGCCTCAACGTTTTCCCTGCTCTTTCTCTTTCTCTCGAGATTATCTTTGAGCTGCCCTGCAGTGCCTACTAATCCTTGCAAGCTAGCTCTGAGCGGCCCATAACTGTTTTCCAATTGGCCTCTCTTTGCCTCCGCCTTCTGTAGTTCTCCCACAGCATTCGTAACTTCCTGGTCCTTTCTCTCGATTCTTCTCTTAATTTCCATGGCCTCCCGCCTCTGTTTTTCATACGTTTCCCGCCATTTCTTTACAGTTTTCACGGCCTCTAATCTGCTGCGTCTTGGATCGTGATAGCCTCCCGTCAATGCACCCTTCTTGTCCGCTCTATCTCCAGCAAGTGTTATCGCGCTGAGGCCATGGGATCTAGCATATTGTGAAGCCACATTGAGGTCAGGGCAAACAATTGTTTTGCCAAAAACATGCTCGAAAGCCTTAGCATAGGCTTCGTCGTATTCGATATAATCCAACATTGGCAATGCATCCTTAGTGCCAGGAAAACCTCCCAACCTTGGCTTAAGCCTGTTGAGCGGCATGAACGTTATTCTGCCAGCCTTCTCGCGCTGTAAATGTTGGAGAGCGATGGTTGCTGTATCGTCATTGTCAACCACATAGTGGAATAGGCTCTGTCCAGCGGTGACCTCAACAGCCGTACGGAAGTTCTCTTGAACATCCATCAGCTCAACAAGAGTTCCATAGCATCCTTCCAAATTCAGCCTCTCCTTGATTCGTCTAACCGCTGCGAGACCTCGCGAAGTGTTTTGGTCCATGGTGTAGGATAGGGCCCTCTCCGCCTTCTCAAGTTCCTGGCGCGAGGACTCCACCAATGAATCCAACTTTGCATCCTCGCGCCACAATTCCTTCCGCTCATCGACAAGCCTATTACGGTCTTCTTTGCGAGCTGCAACATCTTCGGCAATCTCTTCCAAAGTTCCGGATCTACCGTCAAGCTTTTGTCGGATACTCTCGGTCTCGGTCTCCACCCTAGCAACCTCAGCCTCCAACTCTGCAGTCTCGGTTTCCAGCCCATCCATTATGACCTTTCTCTTCCCCAGGGTCTCCTGACATTCCCTAATCTCCCGTCTGAGCCACTCATCCCGTTCCCGTTTGTTCCGGAATTGGGTACTACGTCCCTGTTTGGCGTACAATCTCTGGCGTGCGGCCTCGGCCTCCTCCAGCTGTGACTTTAGTTTGGCCTCCTCCTCTTTCTTCTGGTTGTACTCAGGAAGAAGTTCGCCAAGTTCGGCCTCACGCTCAGCGATACTATCGGTGATTTCTTGAAGCTCTGCCTCATACTGGGCCTTGGCTTGTTGTAGATGCTCTTGGTCGGCGGTCAGGGCCTTAACGTCCAGCTCGATCTGCGCACGATGTCGAACATGTTCGCGATATTCTTCCTCAAGCTGAGTTTTATCGACCCGAAGGAGTTCCGATTGCTGCTTGTTTGCTGTAATAGATTGGTCAAGGCTCTTGAATCATTGGGTAAGCTAAGACTCTGCATCGGTGGGGGGAGGAAGGGGGGAAAAGCAAACCTGTATTTCTTTCTCACGCTCAATAAAAGCCTCCCTACTGTCTTCATTGATTTCAATTCCACGTGCTCTGGTTTCTTCGATTCCATCAATAGCATTATTGATCTCAACTTGCTCCCGATGGTAGATCGTGTATTCGAGACATCTCCGTTCCCTGTCTTTCTCCTGAAACCCCCTCAACTCCTCCTTTTCTTCTTCCAGCTCACTGAGTCGCTCTTCAATGTACTTTAGCAGTTCATCGATCTTGGCTCGTTTGCTCTCAGTTTCCTCCATGATCTTAAGAGACTCGGTTCTCCGTTGCTCATAAACCTGGGTTCCCGCTACCTCCTTGAGGAGGTTCAGTCGCTCGAAATCCTTCATGTTCGTAAGCGTAGTAACACGGCCCTGCGGAACAATGTAGTAAGGATTGCTTCTGGAGAAACCAGCACTCTCTAATAGATTCATGACATCGCTCTTAGTGGCATTTTTTCTGTCAAGCGAATACTCGTCCTTCTTGAGACCGATGGTTCTCCTTAGCACTACCTCATCTCTGCCCGTAGGGAATCGCTCGTCACTGTTGTCGAAAATGATTTCAACATATGCACTCATAACCGCAGATCCAGAACCTTCGTGTAGAAGCGCTTGCCGTTCTTCCCGTCCCATTTGGGTATACGCGTCGGAAAGAACAAACCGGATAGCAGCGAAAAAGTTGGATTTGCCGGAACCATTATGACCAACGATAACATTCGTTTTGGGCGAAAAGGGCTCGATAACTGTTTGTTCCTTGTAGCTGTTGGATTTCGTAAAATAGTGGCATTAGCGAGATCAAGAGCAGCTACCGCAGCTATAAATGAACACTGAAAAGCTGACATACGACTTGAAACCCTGAACGATTATTTGTTTGATGTGCATTCCGCCGGTGTCGCGATTGGCCGCTTGCGACCCTCACAGCAAATAAGCTATGCGATTTCGTTGCGAGTTCGAGTGTTTGTCGTCGGGCTTGTCAAGAAGTTGGGAGGAAGGGATGAGATTGTTTGGTGGCTACAGCGGCTGGTGGGAACAAATGGGAGTCGCGCCGTTGCGGTCAAGAGACGACACGAGAGGGCAACGCGTTGTGGGGGTATGGTGTATGAGGAGTGCCAAGAGGCTAAGTCTCTTGTGAAACTCTTGCGTGCCTGCGGCGGGAGCACCGCACTGTACAGTACGAGTGCTGTCCCAATAAAATGCATCACCGCACCACCGCTATTTTTCCAAAGGGTGCGAATACAGTACATGTACATTCTCCTCTTTCTATTGGCGTTTGGCAAGCCGCTGAACTCGAGAATTCGTAGCATACCTGACTCTTTAGACCCCTTGTGGACACCATTGTGCAACCTCTAGAGGAAAAAAAAACTCTAGGTGGGCTTGGGCTTCCTTTTGCAATCTTTAGGAAAGTTATGATACTGGAGGACTTTCCCATAAGTCTATCGGGAGCAAGGTCTATTGGAATAGGGGGCTAGATAGAAGACATGACTTCCCGTAGGCAGCAAGATTGCAGAAAATTTCTCCTCTTACTGGATTAGAGATAAACAAAAGTGCTGGCGCAATATCAGTTAAGCGGGTTGTGGTGAGGGTGATGTAGGAGATTTTGGCATCTCTATTTCATTGCAATAGATGACCTGAATAGAAGGGGGGGGGGTGCTAACCCCTCCTTGTAACCGCTGCTTTTAAACGCCCTCTCCTATTATACAATATTCGGAAATTTCTGTTCTATCCTGGCCGTATAGGCTTGCGGGAAGTCCTCCACTATCATGCAATAGGGGGTGAGCATAAGTGTGTCGAAGGTGAATGCTGCTGGCCAAAATCGGCAGCGTGTAAACATATGAAGGGCTAATCTTGGTGCTTTTCCTGGTGAAAAAAGTCAGGGAAACACCACAAACCCAGCCCTCAGCTGGGGCGAAAAAGGGATATACATAGCGCCCCACGGCACTGGTATCATACTGGTAGAGGCAGTTACAACATCCTGGCATGTCCGTCTTCTGCTCGAGTTTTTTGCGGCGCCGTGCATTGGGTGTTTTGACCGGCGATCAGGTAGTGGGAATGCCCCTTTGGCGGCGGTAGAAATCATAATAATGGATGCTTTCTTGGAGAGCCCAGACTAGTGAGTACATATAAGTTATATCCTACTACCTGGCTCCCCAATTGGTACGACTATGTTATACTCGCTACCCCATTAAAACTGAATTAGAAAAGTATAGTGAAGCAGGATGATCCATGGGGGTCACTACCGGTAGCAATCTATCTATCCTAGCGACAATTAGGACAAGGCTGAGCTGAGCGGCTTTGGTTATTTGTAAATCGATCTTTTAACAAGCAGGGTATCGATCAGGACATGAACTGTCCCTGGTCACTCACTATATACCAGCAGAGCACTCTAGGGAGAACAAGGACTCGCTCGGCCTCAGGCCGTACTCTCTTATATTTTGGGGACCCTCGGCGCACCTTGTATTTTCTGCCGACCAAGTTCTCAGTAGCACTGTAATTGAGAATATGCTAACTGAGAACCACTTGAGTGTCCGGTCCATGTGTTTGGTTCTGGAAAATCACCTTTGTTCCCACAAACGGCATCTTAAGCAATTGTTGTCCATAGGTCTCCCATAGGGCAAGGCCATATCAGGTGAGATCCTTCCCATCTAGATCATGCTCCCGGTGATGTCAAGCATTTAAATTATTATGGCCCTGTTCGGCATGTCTATCATATCTCTTGTGATCATAAAAGCTGCAAATGACATATATGCTAAAAAAAAAGATCATAATAATAATAATATTATTATTATTGAAAATATGGGTGTTCAGCACGGCTATAAAATAATAAATATTAAGACCTAAATATCCTATCTAGCTAGTTTTGCTATGTAACCCTTATAGTTTTACCCTTCTATTTACAGTCACACCATATAACACTATTATTTAGTATCAGCTCTTCTACATTAATCTATTAAAATTTGCTAGATTCTGATTTATTCCCTAAGCCCTACTGTTGTATCTGAAAATATGCTATAAAAAATATCAAGGTATAAAAAAAATAATATGGTATTTTTTTTAGCCATGCCAAACACCCCCTCAATA